AGAAGAAACAGTTACAAAACCCTGAGGTAGAGGTGATTTTGCAGGTTGGCCATGACTAGAGACTGTAATGTTTGGGCATAAAAGTGAGATATTTGTGGGCACTGGGTAGAGATTTTTTTGATAGTTTTCAATTAAAGTCTTGGCTTTGGGAAAAGGTCAAAGTGAGAACATGGGAACATGGGAAAAGAGCAGTGAAGGGTGCAGCATATATTCCAGGACAGAATTTGCCCTGCCCAGCTATGGGCTCAAGATGCTTGAGGTATTCAGTAAAGTTTTTTAAAAATTTTATTTTCTAACACATGAAGTTTTTCTCATAATGCCTAGAGATTTTTTGTTTATTTTTTATTTTTTGGCCACAAACAAAGTAATGTGATCAAGCACATTTTATATGTCATTTAATTTTAAATGTAATAGGGAAGGGGAACAAGAGAAACTATCAAATAAATAATTATGACTTAGGAAGAACATTTAGCAAGAGGTTATCTGCAATTACCAGAAGGGAAAAAAGCAAAACAACGGATTTTATGTTGAGAACAAGACTTGCCTACAGGGATGTGTTGTGTGTGCGTGTGTGTGTGTGTGCGTGTGTGTGTGTGTGTGTTTATATAAATACATTCAAGGAAGTAGACATGGTTTTATTGCATTATAAAACTAGATTAAATGACAGGAGTAAAACAACAGAAGGCTATATCTTTCTTTTATGGATGAATCTGGTAGAAGTGGAGTTAGTACTGTATGTCAAGAAATTGCTAGAATATGTTTAGCAAAATTGCTGGAAAGTTGTTAGAAGTTGCTGGAAAATCTTCATAAAGATTTTTAGCTTTTTTTACCTGCAAGATGACAAAAGGAAAACTACTGAAAGAAAAAAAAAAGTAGAATCTATAAACCAAGACACAAAAAAAGAATGACAAGAGTGACGGAAAACTCTCAGAGATTAATTTGTGACTATGCAGCAGGGATGCCAATTTGCAGATGTGTTTGCTAAACTGCTGCCAGTAATCACTGAGGAATTACAGAAAATGGGAAAGATTGTAGTGTCAGCCAGGGTTCATGGCAGGAGACAGAAACATTATAAGTAGGTAAAGATTTAATATGGTAAATTGGGTGATTGCAAAATCATTGGAAAGCCTGGAGAAGTGGTCTCTAGTCTGGGCTTCCTGGAATGACTCCCAGACACCAGAGGGCTGAATTGCCAGGGGAGCTGCCACCTCTGAAAAACTGAACTTCCAGAATACATGATTGTAACCGAGATTTGGGAAGCACAGAGCTGGAACTGTGCATTCATTACTGCCGTCATTGCCACTCCATCATGCTGGTTACAGGGCCCTGGAATCTGGAGACCACTGCTGCCTCTGCTTCAACCTCTCTTCTCACCCAGGAATCTGGACAGTGACATGAATCGCTGCTTCAGAAGAAAATCTCACGTCTTCATGAGACCTTGCTTGCCAACCGAGAAATGTTAGGAGATGACCACCCTCACTTTTGCCTTATGAATCTCTCATGGTTGCATCTGCTTGGCAGGGCCATACTGGAATCCAGAGTACTAGCTGCAAAAGCAACCAGGAATTGTATGTGTAGCTCTCAAGTCTCTTCAGAACAGGAAGGCATGATGCAGGACATAAATGGAATTTCGGTGAGCCAAAGCACAGTATTCTATACAACTGTAGACAGGCAAATATTCTTATTTCTTTAGAGGGAAGAAAGAGGTTATGAGAGACACCTGATGAACTTGACATTGGTCCTAGTATTAGTTAGAAAATATACTCTGTAAGTCATTAGGAAAGGATGTAGTGATCACTGGGAATACAGGTTTCATTAAAAAAAAATCATACAAGATAGCTTATTACAGTGGTAAGTAATAGAACTACAGAGCTATAACGTATCTGGGTTTTAACAAAGCTCTTGCCTCAAACTTTTATATCCTGGGACAAACTTGTGAAATGTGGTCAAGATAGTGGTATAGTTGAATGGATTTGTGATTAGTAGAAAGATTAAAAACTGCTGATTAGTAGGTAAATGTCCAATTATAGCACATAAATATAAAAAGTTATTTTTTATCCTGGCCTGCATTACACAATGGCTCCACCAAGGACACTGACTTTGAAAATGCTGGTCGTCATTATTTATTGAGCGCTCTCTCTGGATGAGGCACTGTAGATATATTACTTCATCATTTATGACTGACAACAATCTTGTCAGGTTATTATCATCTCTGTTTTTAAGTATGTGGAAGTTGATACCAGAAAGTGTAAATGAATTGGTCATAGCTCCCCATCTGTTAAGGGACTGTGCTGAGATTCAGACCTGGAACTGCTTCAAGAAAGAGGTACCAGAGGGAGAGAGAGCGTCACCATGTTTCTAGGAGAAACTGGCCAGAACCTGCCAGGATCCCCAGGGGGCGGCATTTTCTCAGTTGTCCCACTTGGGCTCAGTGTCTTGCAGGATCTGTTCAGTATCTCAGGGACTCAAACTCACATTGGCAAGCCTCACTAAAGGCTCACACATGAAACCAGATGCCAATTTATTAAATTATGAGATATGTAATAGCCAAGCTAACCAAATGTGGGTGGAATTCTTGCATGCAAAATTCTGAAGGAGAGCCCAATGAGCAGAATTTTGACTGCAGAGGATAGAGTCAGCCCAAGGAGACACAGATCAGATTGCTAACTGGCTGCAGTCTCCAACAATCACAATAGGGATGTCTGCCTGGCTGACTGTGGACCCTGGACCTATCTGGGAGGGCACTTTCTTATTTGGCCAGGCGAACCAGAATTTGCCTCTCTGACTCTTTCCTAGGTCCACAGGACTGACTGCTATTTTTTTGCTAGATATTTTAAACGATTTAAATTGTTTGTGCTTAAAATTTAGTCTTTCTCTTTGAGGTGATTGTTCTCATCAATTTCCTTTTTTTTGTTTGTTTGGCTTGGTTTTTTTGGCTTGTTTTTTAATATTCAAAAAAATTTATTTTCATTTGAGGGGTGAGATAATTGGGTTTATATATTCATTTCAATGGAGGTACTGGGGATTGAACCCAGGACCTCATGCATGCTAAGCATGCACTGTACAACTCAGCTATACCCTCCTACTTCATCTGATCAACTTCCTGCTGATACAATTTCTTAACTTCAGAAAGCAAGTTCAGCTCCTATATTTCCAAATTCACTGTTGTCCTTGTGCATTACCTGTAAGGCTCCTTTGACTCTTTCCTTTACTCGTGCTGCCACTGATAGATTAGCGAGAACAAATGCAAGAACAGAAGTCCCATTGCTGACATACAGAGTTGAATAACAGCAGAAATTTTGAAAAAGACAGAATTTTTAATTAGCATAGGCTCACTGTGTGTCAATAGTGTGTGATGTATTTACCCAAGAAGCCAGGACAGACTTAGCTGTATTAACTGTGTCAACAGATTGAATGAGCAAGCAAGTGAATGAAGGAGTTAATAACCTTTCCCTAGTCTTTACTGACACTCCATGCTTAGAGTAACAATGTTTATTTAGTCAAGGGTTCACATTTTCAGAGGGTATCAACAGACAGGAATATATTCAGAGGAAACTGACCAGATGGTAATAGGACTTGAAATCACACTCTGACAAGTGGTGGTAGGACCACTGGTGATATTTAGCTTAACAAAGAAAAGACTTAGGGAAAAAATAAGAAAAGCTAAGAGTTATTGAGTGTTTACTGAATGCGTATAGAGTAGACTGAGCATTGTGCTCTGTCCTTTAAAGGATTTCAAACATTATGGGTCTATCATAATTAAAAAGGGACTTTATTTTGAGTTGCTCTGGAAGGCAGGGCTGACAGTAATCAATAGAAATCACAGAGAAATAACTCTGCTCATAAGAATGATGACATTTCTAACTCTCAAAGCTGTCCAACAATAGAATGAGCTGCCTTGATATAAAAGGGTCTGTATTTTTGAGGATGCTCAAGCAGACTGGTCAAACTTTTGATGGATATATTTTGAAGAGGAGTAAATACTAAATGGAGGCATAGACCAGATAAACTCTGACTGTACAATCTTATTCTGTGAGTCTTTCATTATCTTACAATACAGTTACTCCTTTCTTTATCTTTCAATTTAGTGGCCTGAGCCCTAACTGGTCAATGTCACTTTCAATTCAATAGATCAGTAGGATACTGGTTGCTGTCTCCCATCCTGGCAACTAAGACAAAATCCAGCACAACCCAAATTTGCAGGGATGGGAAACATTTTGTGAGTGGGTTTATTAGGTATAATAGCAAGAAGGAACTCACTTCCTTTTTTGATCGCCATGTATTCTGAGCATGGGAGAAACAAATGATACTCTGTACTGACTGCCTTTTCAAAGCATGGTAAATGATCATTCTCAAATAGTTTGAAAGCTTCAAATGTTAGTAGCATTCATTTCTGTCTTTGTATTTAAATGTAGTTGTTTATGCTTCTGAAATCCTCTCTGGTTGTGTTCCTTATTTCAAGCTTTGTTATTGTTAATACACTTTGAGCATCAGCTCACTTATGCATTCACGTCATTTAATCTCACACCTTAAAAACTGGTTCCTGCGAACGGGTAAAGAATGAATGTCCACTCAAAATAACCAGAGAATGTTAAAGTTTTATAGCTAAATATCACATATTAATATTACATTGTAATAGATATTATTAGATATTGATAATAATCGATATTATCTTATCAGTAGATGAGAAATTCAAGCCCAGAGAGATTAAATGACTTGCCACAGTCATGCGGCTAGTGGGAAAGTTGAGCACTTTTCTTTATTCTTTCGTTCCCCACTCACTGATGCAATTATATGCTGTTTTCTTTTCCTAGCAAATAGAATGTTTCCATACTAGTCACTCTTATGTCTTTATTTACAGTCTGATTGACACTGGACTTGAGGAGCAGGTATTTGAGTACATTCCAGACTCGTATTTTCCCTATCCCTATCTTTAGTTCAGTCAGGAATTCTAAGGGCTCCTCTGTTCTTAACTCTGGATTGTGTTTGCATCTCTGCAGTGCTGCATATGACGCTGTCCTTGACAGAAATGTGGCCATTAAGAAGCTCAGCAGACCCTTTCAGAACCAAACACATGCCAAGAGAGCTTACCGGGAGCTGGTCCTCATGAAGTGTGTGAACCATAAAAACGTGAGTTGTTATTTTAAACCTCTGGCAGTGGGAGGAGGTAAGATTGGGGAAAGAAAATCAGTATGCCAACTTGAGTAGGAAAGACTTTCTTTACTTTGCAATTTCTGTCTCTTAAGATTGTTTATCCTGCCCATATGCTACATTTGATTTCATTGTCCTCATGGTAGCTTTCTGCTTAAAAATCATCTGAAAACCATATGGCATGTAGGGGATGAATCTGATAGCTATTTCCCTGTTAAGAAATAAACTGTATTTGGTCATCTTGCTCGAAATTAACCAGAGAGCTTCATGCTTTTCCAAAACAAACAAACAGACAAACAAACCAAAACCAAAAATATCTTATAGAACAAAATACTGCATTTCTTTATAATTTAAATTTAATTATTAACAGGTGAAGATTTGTATCTCCTTTTTGTTTTAGCTATAGGTGGCCTCCAACTGTTCAGTGTGCACACTGTGCTTTGGCATCTCGCTTTTTGTAGGGCTGGGCAAATGTGCAGGGACATATCTGCAAAGCGCTTCAGAACAGGATTGTCAAGAACATTTCTCGTTGGAACTCAGCAGGGAACACTATTACAGGGCTTTCTTCACTTCAGAGTATAATTTTCTTCAACCACTGTCAAAGGTGTCAAGAACTCTTTCTATGCTTTCATTCTTCTTAGTAAGGAGAAATGGGAGATAACTCTTATTTTAATAAAGACAATGTTCATAGCAACATTATTTACAATAGCCAAGACATGGAAACAGCCTAAATGTCCATCAACAGATGACTGTATAAAGAAGATGTGGTATATTTATACAATGGAATACTACTCAGCCATAAAAACTGGCAACATAACGCCATTTGCAGCAACATGGATGCTCCTGGAGAATGTCATTCTAAGTGAAGTAAGCCAGAAAGAGAAAGAAAAATACCATATGAGATCGCTCATATGTGGAATCTAAAAGAACACAAACAAACAAAGCATAAATACAAAACAGAAATAGACTCACAGACATAGAATATAAACTTGTGGTTGCCAAGGGGGCGGGGGGGTGGGAAGAGATAGACTGGGATTTCAAAATTGTAGAATAGATAAACAAGATTATACTGTATAGCACAGAGAAATATATACAAGATCTTATGGTAGCTCACAGAGAAAAAAATGTGACAAAGAATATATACATGTTCGTGTATAACTGAAAAATTGTGCTCTAGACTAGAATTTGACACAACATTGTAAAATGATTATAAATCAATAAAAAAGTTAAAAACAAATAAATAAATAGATTATAATTATAATTATTACATATACATATAATTTATTACATGTAAACATATAATATAAATAATTATTATAAAGATATAATAATAATTCCCTACAAAGTTTTTCTTGAGTATGAAAATCACAGAATATAAGAAATTATCCATGCAGTTTTATAAACAAGTGAATTTGTCATGAGGCTAACCGTCTATCAATGGCACTAAGAAGAAGCAAAGGTATGAGAGTTTAGTTGAAAGAGATTTGAAATACAAATAAGTGGATTTAGGCCTAATGAGTGTTTCTCTTTTACTCTATTACTTTATTCCAATGACACTTTAGCTCAGTCATTTGTTTGACAAATACTTGTTAAATGAATAGAATGTGCCAGGTATAGATCTAGATGCTCTAAGATGCTAAGAATACAGCAGTGAAGATAGGAGAGACAAATTCCTGCCACGTGGTGCTCACTGGGGCGACAAAGGCAGTCTGCAAAGTAGGTAGGTAAGTGTATAGAATGTCAAATACTAATAAGTGGTATCAAGAAAAATGAAGCAAAGAAGGAAGATAAAAAATTCTGGTCAATGCAGAACGGGTAGGGTTATTCTTTTAAACAGATTGAGCAAGAAAGTCTTCACTAAGAAAGATAAAGCTTATGAATTATGTACCCACCTCTCATTTGGCCAT